TCCCTATTGGATTATGTGTATTAGCGTTTGTTCGGTGTATTGAAATTCTAGGTATGAAACAGACGCACCGAAAGTACCGAAAATAAAAGTACACCGAAAATTTGTGAAATTACAGTAACTCTACATCACTGTAACTGGATACTGTATACAGTCAGAAAGTGCAATACTGTAACTAGGCACAAAACTGACAGTACTGAGACATTCGACGTCCTGACACCTAGCTTCAACACATCTCCGTAGCGCTAACCGACAGCCTTCCAACTTGGAAGGTTCAAGGTTATGAAAAGACCAAAGAGGGGAAGGCAAGCGCAACGAAAACGAGCAAAAGCTACAGTCCCAACGGAACAAAGAATGTCGATTGTTACTGGACGATGACGAGACCAGTACGAAATTTGACAAAGCGGTCTAACTACAATTCGAAGCAGCAAAACTTGGGTGGGTCATAAATATCAAAGATAAGTAAAGAAAGGGGAAGCTTTGCGAAAACGAATTGTACAAGCCGAAAGCCAAACTCCTACAGTACTCCTCATGCATGACATTGTGATGGACTAGTTGACTACAAAACAAGTTGTTTCACACGACGTACGTTTCGCCGTATTGTTCGTGACGGCTCATCAGGTGTGCAATTTGAAACTCGGATGTTGAGCCATAAATAAATGTAGAAAGGAAAAGGACATAATGGATACGAGTTAATAACTCTCCATCACTGTAACTGGATACTACCGCGGTATACACAGCTGCAGCGTGAATCACTTTCAATGACATTGAAAGTGATTCACTGTATTGGTCACGAGTGTTGCACCGCATCCTGCACTTGCAACTCTTATTACCGTGCTTGCAGATCCATGACGTGCATAGTAACTAGTCTCACTGTGTTCATGTATTACTCCCACACACTAGGATGACCTGAGGAATACTAGCATATGTACCCTGTAGACCCTTTTGATGCATTTCACTTTCGACCTCCTTTTCATTTATCTACACACATTCTATTGAAGCTTCCTTAGAATTCCTAATGGCTGTCTTCCCGGTACCTCTTTTACGCCCATTGCCCACATCGTGTTCAGCTCCTTCTTCTGCATAGAATAAAATGGCATTCCTTGTGCAGTGACCCCTTCTACTGCCCACACATCTTACTTTGACCTTACTTCTTCTTCTGCTCTACGTATCCCCTGGTCATAGGCTAGCCTTGCACTTACACTAACAGTTCCACACCCCGCTATAAAAGCTGCTGTTCACAATTCTCTTCAAGTCAATTTGGAGTTAGAGTTCAACCTTCAGTCCAGTCTGTAGTAATAATAAACAACAGTGTGTTCACTGAGACCCGTGTGCATTTGCCTCCGAGAGACTGCAGCCCGCTACACATGTATCTGGCATTTCAGGGAAGTGACATCTACTGCCCTGGAATGCCAGGTATTCCTCAACGACTTTAATTGTAAGCATAAACTACTTTTTATTCCATTCTATCCCTCCATCCCAGGCTCAACAGGCTAGCAGTTGTAGTAGTGTCACGTGACACGCATCCCCCGTGTTGTGCTTCTAGCAAGGGCTGGGATCTGTTGTGACTACTTTTTTAAAAGTTTTTATTCTATTCTACTGGTATCCATCTACATGTAGCGGCCTAGACTCTCACAGACTCCTACCTCACACACACTGCCTGTGGCGTGCTTCGAAGTACGCACGCTGTGGCTAGCTGCGGTGCATCCTGGAGGATCGCCTTTGAGACTTTGAGTAGCCCTTTCCCAAAGATGCAATAATTTTTCGCAACTTATGCTTTTCGCAACCGTGTCAAAACAAGTGCGAGTTGCTGAAATCGCATCCATGTTTTCAGAAAAAGCTCCTAAGTTGCTAGTATCGTAACTTAAAATTGGAGAGTTCTTGTGCAAAAACCACCAAAAAAGAGCAGAAATAGCAGAAGTGCAGCAACCGCAAACTCGTACACCCCTTCCTGCTGTGAACCACCACTTTACACAGTGCCAGTAGCCTGTTGCATGCATCCTGCATCATTCCAGTGCACGGAAAAGGGAATGCACATTATCGTAACTACCGTTGATCAACTGTTTCTCTGAAAAGAGTCTGAAGGCAGGCGAGAAATGAGCGAGTATGCAATTTGTCCGACATGTACATGTAGTTCGTGACTTGACCTTTTGACCCCATGCCAAGGGGCCAAGGTTGTGGAATAGTTGCGAAATTGTTCGCAAAATGAAGAAAGTTGCGAAAGTTGCGATTTCTTCCAAAACAACGAAAAGTTGCGAAAAAGTGGCGAGCATCTTTGGGACAGGGCCGACTAGCCCCCAACGGATGTAGCGATAAGACTTGATAAAGTGGCGAGCATCTTTGGGACAGGGCCGACTAGCCCCCAACGGATGTAGCGATAAGACTTGATTGGCGCCTGGCAATGGCTCGAACCCACGACCCATCGTACCCCCCGCGAGTAGGTACGGCGTGAGGACACAGCCTGTTGGGGCGGGGGAGCAGTGTAGCAAGAAGGACCCATGAGTGTGTGTGATCCCCGGTAGCCTAATCGGTAGGGCACTGTCCCGGAAAGACAGGGGTGCTGGGTTCGAATCCCGCTCGTGGATCCTTCTTTTGCAACACATCGCAGGCCATCGCAGAAGTTAGTTGAGCTTGGCTCAACTTTTGCGATGCGATGCGATGCGACAAGCGATATGGCGTACGATTTTGACCTTTTCTACAGCAAAGTTGTACAAAGGTTCAAGAGTGCAATAAATTTGTACAAGTTGTATCAAACCGCGCGAATATCATGGTGACGTAGCCAAATCAGCAAGATGTTGTCGCATCACCATGATCACTGACTTCTTCTGTGAATGGCATTTCGCGAGTTCGCATCGCACGCAAGAAAAAAATGATGTTTTGTAAAAAGGTTGTGTCGCGTGGACGCTCGAGTGCGTGCATGCAGTGAAGTGCAACCAAAGAGAATCTCGCTTGTTTGACGAAGTAGCTGTCAAAGTGTCATGGCAGAAAGGGTTTCAGCAGTCAGGGAAGTCAAAGACAAAGGGCTCCCGGTAGAATATTCCCTGCTACTCCTCTAGTCACAACGAAGAGTTTTTGAGCTGATCGAACGGATTCCATCTCCTACACTCAGGGATGGCGAAATAATTTCTGCGCTAGCTGCTGCTTGCGGAAAATGGTGAAGAAATCGTCACTCCAATTAGAGTCGTGATGGCGATAGCGAGGAGAAACTGGACGACATCGATCCAGCCAATCGAAGTATGGAGATACATGTACTAGCTGTTTGTGGGCCTCTCGCAAAGGGAACACGCGAAGCAGAGCTCATACGTTTGCAGCTGGTTCACGAGGAAAAAGGCTTGAAGCGCAGTGTGAAAACTGTTTTGAAGTGAAGTCCTTGGCGATGAAGTGCTACTGAATGCCAGGCGAATGAGCGAGCAGATCGAGAGGCCTCCACTCGAGACTTTCCTCGCTGGACAGCTAGCTGCAAGGGATTGTGTGGAGCAATACTGCATGTACGTATGTATAACTCATAATCACAAGGTGATCGTAGAGGCATTAATCAGCGAGAGAATTGTGGATGATGTCAATACTGTAATACTGTAGCAGCATAAAATTAGCATAATGGTCATGATTTTCTAGCATTTTCCACAACGCAGAACTACGAAATGTGCACAATACTGCCCAAACCAAGCCATTTTTTCCATACTTACTACTGGTTAATTGCTGGCATTACAGAGGAACAGCAGCATTATAAGTAGCATTATGATACAGTTCTTCTGGCATTGCCATTGGCATTATCCGCCCAGGCCTAATGATAGCAAGAAGGCTTTCGAGCAGAGGAGCAGAAGGCAATTATACTGGCCATACTCAGTTCATAAAATATAAGTTTCCGTGCATGGCACGGTAAGTGGAGTTAGCAACGCACCAACATCCTTGCCATAAGCAACACTGGTACATGCATAACATGCTGCACTCCGAATTCCTGCGTTTCCGCACGGGACTGTGCGGAGCATGCGCATTACTCCAATTCGCCATGTTGTTGTTTCTTGCTCTTGGCTTTGCTGTGCTGACGGTCAAATTGTTTGACTATCGCGGCCAGTTTCTGATCACCGCCACCCACCCCATCATCTCTCACTAGCATTCCATTCGAAGCCATCCCGAAAGGGAGAACAGGAAGGATCGTGAGTCAGGCCGGCATTGAGCCAAGTGGGTCTATATTCGCTCACAAGTGCGTCCTTGAAGCCATCCCGTAAGGGAGAACAGTAGGGATCGTCTGTCAGGCCGGCATTGAGCCAAGTGTGGCTACATTCGCCCACAAGTGCATCTCTACTGCATGCTCATGTATTGACACGTCTGAATTCAACAGTAGGGATCGTGGGTCAGGCCGGCATTGGGCCAAGTGCGCCTACATTCGCCCACAAGTGCATCCCTACTGCATGCTCGTGTATTGACACGTCTGAATTCTCGCCGGGCACTTGTTGCCCCAGTTGGTGTCGGCATTGGCCATACTAACGCACAGCGGTGCTTGCAATACTAGCTCTGGCATTGGACCAGAATATTGCATATTGTATGCGGCAATTGTTGCCTATCTCCTGGTAATACAACGTGTAATAGCTCCCAAACAGGTCGGCTTGTTGTGTGGTTGGTAACATTTTGTGTGTGAAAAGTAACTGGCTTAGACAGAGCAACCTGCTTGTTCATCTGTCTGTGGAATAATCACAAGAATGGCCTCGGAAGCATTTTCGAAGCAAACTCTAAAGCCGATCATTGTGATCCTGCTCGCCGCATCACTATCAGCTTGGGGATTGTGGAAGTTCACTTTACCAGTAATCGACAGGCGTGTACTTCATGCACGGGACGTGAGTAAGCGCCCACTCCAGGATAATGGCTCGGTGAAGATACCAGTCGCTCATGAGCCACATCATAAGAAGCTAGTTCAGACATCTAAAGTATGGGGACAGTATGGCTTAGTCTTTTCCTGGCCACACACTGTCAAAAATACTATGCCCACATGCCAACACCCGGGGATGGTCCAGATTTGCCAGAATCCACGAAAGAGACTTATCATACTCTACTGGAATGCTGTGGTTGGCGACAACAACTTCACGATGTTCCCTCCCAGTGATGGCCTGTTGCACTTTGGATGCTGTGACGGCATTGACATGATCTACACAACGGACCGCAAGATGTTTGCTGTTGCTGATATCATAGAATTCGCAGCTCCAGAGCTTCCTGACCCACTGCCCTCCAAGGGTCACAAGTACCAATTGTTTATGGCGACAAGCACTGAAGCTCCATACGTTGCCAGTAGAAAGAACAATGTCGCTCGGATGTCTGGAATAAACTTGCTTCGATCGTACGCTTGGACCAGTGATATTCGCCACTCGTTCACTGAGCCAGGAGAATGCTTTTGCAAACAATATGTGAAGCCTCTGAAGATACCGTACGGCCAGCGAAATGTAGTTCCGGTGTCAGCTCTGGTTTCCAATTGCCAGTCATTCGGTGGCCGTCAAGATTTGTTGAAGTACATGATGCAGAAGATTAAGGTTCACAGTATGGGCGGCTGTCTCCACAATCATAGGCTCCCCGCTAATGTCCAGCCCGCGCTGGAAAACTATCTGTATAATTTTGCTGTTGAGAATGCCATATGTATGGACTACATTTCGGAGAAGTTTCATCGGGCCTTGTCACTAGGCACCGTACCCATAGTGCTGAGCCAGGGTCAAATGCCAGGATACGAGTTTGTGGCTCCTACAAATTCTTCCTACGTCGATCTGTCTCGCTTTCGGACGCTTGATGATGCCATAGCGTTTATCAGCGACACGGCGGCCTCACCAGAGAAGTACGCGCAACACCACAGTTATAGAGGTGAGCTAATCACAAGTCCAGTCTTGTCAGCCAAGTTCAAACACCACGTGTGCAAGCAGACTGAAGACAATCTTGACCAATGGTGCCAACTTGCCAAAGCCATGGAGACGAGGAGAGGAAGAGAGCAGCTGCTCCAGAAAACGTACGGCCGGTATGATTCTACCTCAAATCGTCAGTGTGCTAGTGAAGGCTCAATGTCAACCCTCGTCCCCAGATGAGTCTGACATTTACTCGTACTGTGTCTTCAGCACAACATTTTAATCGACCGCTTCTTGCGGTTCTTGCCTTGATCCATGAAGGGTGGTGGCATTCTTACGGATGCGAACCGTGACATTTTTTCGTTTTTTCTTGCACCTTTAACCAAAACACTTTGTGCGTCTAAAGGTTAGACACAGACAAACCTCTAACCCTGGCAAGTTGATTACCCTCTATACCTAGGTGTTGGGGAATACGTACATGTATCTGGACTTTCAGGCAGATGACGTCTACTACCCTGGAATGCCAGGTATTCCTCAACAACTTTCTAAATTGTACGAAATAGTGGTTGCCACTTGGGCGATGTGTGGGGGAGCAAACCCTTTCTAACTTTATAAATTCTTGCATAAACTACTTTTAATTCCATTCTATCCCTCCATCCTAGATCCTAGGCTCTACATGCCATTACAGGGATGAATTTACTGTCATATTTTTGCATAGCAGTTTCTGCTATACAAAATCACAATTGTGTAGCAGTCTTTGATTTTGATTAGCATTTTTCTTTGAAGGTTGGGTGTTTACCACATTATCCTTCTTGAGAGTGATGCCTGAAAGCCCAATTTGCAGAAAAAACGACTGAAGCATACGTGTGCACCCAGATTGAGAGTACCTGCACCACATACACTGCACTGTATGCATGTTACTTGACAGTGCAAACTAGGCATAGATAGCCTGTATGTATCGCACTTTTCTGCGAGTCATGGTGACTTTTGAGTAGCAGTAGATCAATTTTGCATCGCAAACTGCGATGCGATACAGGATAAATTCATCCCTGCATTAGTACATGTACATGTATGTCTCCTGTATTCACTTCTTTCGAAGGCGATAAGCCAGACCCACCGGGAAATGTTTCCATGGGTGGAACAGCATAAAGAAAGCCAGCACACGAAGCACAGAGGCCATATTCTTTTTTCGACTATTGTCACTTTGTCTCTCTCCTTTTTTTCCTTATTTAAAAAAATCGCTGCTTTTTCCATGGTCACTTCCTTCCTGACGATGGTCATGTAGACCGAAACATTGAAATAATTACTTGATGATGTGTGAGATGCACTGCTTTTTTGAGTGTACACAAGTTGCCTATAAATGAATTTGGTAATGTCAAGTCTAGAGAAGTAGACCTAGACTCGAAGCCCAACGACCAACGAACCAGCGAGGATGAAAGCCTCTCAAGCGCATCTACCCGCAGGCCAAGCAGGTCCGCACAGCCACCAGCGACCCAACGAGCCACACCTGACAACGCCAAGAAGCCTCCCAGAGGAAGTACAAGCAATACGACAGTACCCAGGAAAACCCAAAATTTAATGTAATGATTTGGTCTCAATCCCGACGCAGCGCCCTTCTACCCTCAGACCCCGCACACAATGCCCCCACACAGACCAGTGACGGTCCTAAACCCTCTCGCTGCGCCATTTACTGTCAACGCACAAGCTTTTAACTTTTCATCTATCCTCCCCGATTTAAAGCCCCATTCCCAAATACGCATTGCAACCCTTAATACATGCAGCTGGCTTTCTAAAGCTGAAGAAGTCTCTAATTTATTCGCTACAGCCCACTTTCACGTAGATCTACTAGGCATAAGCGAAACTTGGCTCCAACAACACGTACCTGATGCCCTTCTTCTACCATCCCCGCATCACCGCATCCTCCGTCAGGACCACAGCCAGGGTACAACCCGTCGCGGGGGAGGTGTTGCCTTCCTCATCCACCCATCTGTACGTTATTCCCACCGGCCAGACCTGCAGCCTAGTGATCCCAGTGTAGAAATTATTTGTGTTGAACTGTTCACTGGCCGCAGTCGTGCCATTCTCTTCTGTTGCTATACCCCCATGGCAGGACCCTGCCCACTTTTCCCGCAGTCTGCAGGCATGCATCGAGCTAGTTCAAGACCCCGCAGCGACAGCTATAGTAATCGGTGACTTCAATGCGCGGCTCAGCTGCTGGCTACCATCTGATTCCAATAGCCCTGCTGGACCACATCTTTCCAATGTGTTTGACTCCATAAATCTTACACAACTGGTTCGCCAGCCCACTCGATACTCAATAGCTGGACAAACCTCTTCTCTTCTGGACCTTGTCGCAACTACTAACCCAACAGCAGCTAGGAACCAGTGGGTATTACCTCCAGTATCAGATCACTGCCCTGTGATTGTAGATTTTGAGTATAACTCAAAACAGAAGCACGCAGCGAGCCCTAGGTCCTCGGCGTTGATATACGATTATTCAAAGGTAGACTGGAATGAACTTAATCAGGCCATTGCCAATCTAAACCTTCTCAGATCAGTCACAACATCGACTAGTATCGAAGAGGCTTGGTTAAAGTGGTCTCATAAAGTTGAAGAAGTGGTCAAGCAGTATGTACCGCAGAGACAAGCCCTACATCATCGCAGCAACCGGCATTGGTTCTGTGCAAAACACCACCGTCTCCGTCGACACCGTGACCGCCTTTTTGCAACAGCTAAACGATCTGGCAGAGCAACGGACTGGGTAGTCTACCGTCTTGCAAGGAATGCGTTCACGGCCGAAATTCGCAAAGCAAAGCGACGTTTTTACGCTAACAAGTGGTGGCAGAGAGCCAAACAACCATGCAATCTTTCTAAGCCTCGGGCTCCGATTCCTGATCTGTCGGATGGAATTTTAACGGCTACAAGCGATCTAGAGAAGGCTGACGTGCTAGCTCGCCTATTCTCTCAGTATTCTTCACCTCCTTCTAAGCCCCCCCCCCCCCCCGGACTGCACACAGCTACCCACAGTCACGGTTGTCGAGCTCTTCGAATTTCAGCAATTGAGTACCACTAGTGTTCTTTGGACCCTATCACACCTTCCCCGGTACAAACGCACGTCTGGACCCCTCCCTGATCGAATCCTTCGAGAAACAGCTCCCAGTATTTCCGATTCACTAACAGCTATGTTTAACCTCAGTATCACCTCTGGTATGGTTTAGGCCTTGACAGATTATGCTAGCATAATTTTTCGCATAATTCCTATCAAAATCGAATAATCGCATAATTCGAGGCAAATTGCATACGAATCGCATAAAATCGGAATAATCCGCCTGTTCGCATCAAATTCCATACAGTTGTACATGTTCTACAAGTACAAGTACAAGTAGATGCACCAGGAAGTCGTAGGGTTACGACTCCCTTGATAACATGTCCAGTCCACTACAATCAGTGACGGTCGTAGCTAGGTCGGAAGGTGCGTTGACCCCGTTGAACTTTTGCTACTACAGTACACCGCCCTCTACAAAAAAATTCCTCTGTTATTTTGCACATAACCGTTATTCATTAGCAGCATATGTGAGCATAATGCGGCATAATATGATAACTTTTAGCATAAAAAGTAGCATAATTCTGCAATTTCTTCAGCAATGCGAAAAGCATAATTTCACGAAAATATTAGCATAATCTGTCAAGGCCTAGTATGGTTCCATCAGATTGGAAAACCTCTATTGTTATCCCGGTATACAAGGTTCAGGAAGCAACATTAAATTTTATCAATAGTTTGTTTCGTTTGTTATGACTTCTTGGTTTTCCACCCGGTTTAGTTATAATTTATATTATTATTATTTGGTGCAGCTTTAGCGCTATAAATCATGGTTTTATTATGATTTCCTTTTTCTTAATTTCGTATTTAGCGCTTTTGGGCGTCATTATTACCTGTATAAAAACCGCTCTGTGGCTAGTGTGAGCGGTTCTGAAAAACTTCTACTGGTGCAGCCCCGTCGTAAAAGTAAGAAATTCTTGTCTTCTCATTATTTCGCACCAAGTTATTATTTTTGTGGTATTCTCTAGCTTCTTTTTGTTTTGCAGTTGGTCTTGTGCACCCCCCCCCCCTCCCCTCCACCCATTTTTCGATGCCTAGTCGCAACACTGACGTCGCCGAGACCTCTGGTCGGTTGAGTTGCTCCCAGCACACCAGCACGTCGTCTCTACATCCCCTATGTCTTGTTCTTTTCCTCGTTTCTTTTTGTTCTCCACTCGTTTTACAGTAGGGCTGTGTCAATAGGGCTTGAAAGTGCTACGTCACAGCATAGCAACAATTTCAAAAATTCAAAAATTGGATCCACTTGGATCCAGCTTTTGTATGGATCCAAGCACATTTCAAGCCGTCTTACTCTCAGCAAGGTGATGTAACCAGTGAAACTGACTGATTTGGCTACTGGGGGCAGGGTTACAACTGGTGGCGAAGTAGAAGTCACCCCGGCATACGACATGAGTGGGTTGCTATGCACCCACATACTGAGGCAATAGCAAAGTCACACCTTAATGGATCCAAAATAGAAATCTGATGTCAACTTAGTACTCCCTGGCCGTTTTTGACGTCATCACTTTCAAGCCCTATAGTAAAATAAAAAAAATAAAAAGCAGGCCTGGCTCTTATCGCCCCATTGCCTGCTCCACGGAGTTGCGAAGGTGTTCGAAAGCATGATGAGCAAGCAAATGACTACAGTCAACTTCGCTTATAACGACATTCGGCGGGGCATCAAAAAGGTGTCCTATTCGCGAAGTGTCGTTATAGTCCGCAGTCCAGGGTACAGAATTGTGACTTTTCGTTCGCCACGAAAGGGCACCAAGGTTTGACATGACCAAATGAAAGAGCAAGAGCAGGGCTTTCCAGGCATGTGTCTCTTGATTAGCTGTGTTGGGGCTTTGTTGACCAAATCGCGACAATTGTTTTTCTACGCGTTGCCATGGCAACTGGATCATGAATTTGAATTTTGAGGCTATTGCAAGCATCATAGCGATGTTTGTGAACTGTATTCGAGCCACAGAGGCTGAGGAGACCCAGCATACGAAATTTTACTGAATTTGGATGAAGTATAGGCATGTAGAGAGGAGAAATAGTACTGCACAGTATGACACAACATGCGACACAATTGTCATGTCATGTACTACCTTGCAGTGTGCACCTACAACCACACTATCGCATAACGGATGAGTTCAAAGCAATAATACTAATAATTATTATGTTCTAGAATTACATGTGACCACAAAATACACAAAGGAAACCTGATGAGACGAGTTAATTAATTACGTGTATAAAGACTGATATGAGAAAAAACCGTGCCAAGCACACCGGAGTCGGCCTTAGAAGGAGTGCATTTACTTCAAGTGCAAGTCAACGTAATGGCTTACAGCAATGCAGTGGCTGAAAATGCAGTGTGTGTGTCAGCCACCTAAACATAAAGAAATGCGGCATCAACTGTGTTTCGAACTAGGGAAATAGTTCCGCAAAATATTAGGAATGCTGATAGTTAACCTCTGTGTATATTGTGACCCAAAGACCAGGTATGGTTAAACAAAGGGAATGAACTATTTTTAACTGTACTTCCGCAGCGGACACGACCACACCAGGGGCATACGAAGGGGTGTTTGGGGTGCCAAAGCACACCCCCCCCCCCCCCCAAAAACCAATTCGATCTTGGTTTGCAGCTGGTTCAAGAAAGACCATAACGCGCGGACCATAACTCTACACATCGCACACTGTAGCCATCCCTGTTCGGACTGACTTGTTCTTACTTGCACTCGACTATTTTGTCTGATGATTGGCCATTCTGGAATGGTTAGTACGGTACACAGTGCGGCACATCATCCTTATAATGTGCATCATCCGCCGTGAATGTCTTGTTTTATGCCGTTATGTTCTCCACATGTTTCTCCCATAGGGCGGTGTTCATGATAACAAAATATACCATGTGACGTTCATCCACTGTCCGTAGACGGCTCAATTTGCCGAAGGCAAAGAGCGGAATACACAGACAGAAGAACGAGCAGTTGCGGTTTCGTAACTCTCAGTTTCACGAACTAAATCGATCATCAGACGAAGATTGATACTGACCCTGCCCTGAGAGTACTGCTATAATTATATCATGAATGTGGCAAGCCCAGCGGACTAATTGCCATGTGATATGTAGCGCGATATGGAGTATGTTTTGTCACCTGATTCCACGACTCGGAACATCGCGTAATAATGCACAGATAACTAACACTTTCTCACACACTCCATATCCCGCTACATATCACATGGTAATTGTTACACTGGGCTTGCCTCATTCTCGGTATAATTTTAGTAGCACTCTCAGGCCCAGGTACTGACCTGGTATCAATGTTCGTCTAATCGGATTGATTCAGTTCATGAAACTCAGAGTTACGAAACAGCAACTGCACGTTCTTCTGTCTGTGTAATAACAAAATATATAAATATCGGCCGACATGAAAGGACCAAAATGAAGGCATGCACTTTTGTGTGGGAACGTCGTGGAAACCACCTTGATCACTATTCTGGCTTCACCTCTGAACACAGTCATCAAGTAGTCCACTGCCTACAGCAGAGAAGAAATCATCCTCAGAGGAATTCGATGAGGCAGTGAGGTCAGCAATGTGCGTCTTTTGTCTGCTTGCTGCAATCCTAGCAAGAGTCTCTGCATAAGTGCATGAACGATAGCAAGACTTATGGGAGTGTACCTCTCTAGCGATCAGATTCGCTGAACTGATTGCTGCCATAATCCTTTGATCTTGTCGTGTGGCAGCAGCGTTCCGCAATTATTTCTTTTCTGCTTCCACTGTCACGAGTTGAGATGTCGCCTGCTTGGTTGTACAGCTCGCCAATTTGTTTCAGCGTACCACAAAACAGGCAGATTTTTTTCTTCTGGTTCAACAACATGGGCTCGTAGCGATTGATGAGTCCTGTCCGTCGAACTGCGGACTCCTCGGATGCCGTGCAGGCTGCCAGAAAATTTGGCACTTGGCATTGTGTGAATACACTTCAGAGTTCTATTCGTTTCGGGTTCCGGCGCAGAGGAGATAGCACCAGGCCGGCCAGCACTCGGCAGGAGCTCATCACTGTAGTTGGTATGGCCAAAATACGTGAACCCATGGCATAGGCGAGGCGCACCCGATCGACCTAGTACCTAGAACCAAGAGTGCATAATGTTTATGGACTCTTGCTAGAACCTAAAATACTACAGTACAGAGTACCGTCCAGGCGTTTTTACATCTGAAACGCACCACGTGGCACTCCAAGTGTGCGAGATTTCAAATTTGAACTTTTGAGTGGGTTTGATGCATGCTCAAACTTACGCTCCGCGAAACTTGTGCATGGATTTGCCCCGAAGAAATTCGCCTCTATCGTGAGAGCGCCCCAGATCTAGAAGCAGTTCTCGACTGTTTTGGGTACCTCAAGGGGTCCTCTTTCAGGCCCCCACATCAAACCTTGGTGCCCCGTCGTGGCGAACGGAATTTTTTTAGGGCTACATTTTGAGCACTTGGACTGCGGACTATTATACCCGAAGTCTCATTTTATGTATTACAGTGGGATGGGACTTTGCTCTGGGCATGGAAACTCTGTCGTTATTCGCGAATTGTCGTTATATCCGCAGTCGTTATTCGCGAAGTTGACTGTACATTTGTGGAGGCCAAAACCCTCCTCCGTATGCACCAGTTCGGGTGTCGCCGGCAGCGGTCCACTACTGACCAACTAGTCCAAATGACGTCCTCAATAAGAAGAGCCTTTGACAGCAAAGCTTTGTGCGACGGACTCTACCTGGACTTATCAAAGGCATTCGATAACGCCAGCCATTCTGTCCTTCTGCATCTTCTCTCCTCATTCTGCTCATCATCTTCAGTCAAATGGCTCGGATCCTTTGTCTGTGGACGCTCTATTCATGTTCAAATTGGTAATAGAGAGGTTCTGCACAACGAAAATTCGTACGAACTTTCGTTATACGTCATGAACTACGAAACTTCGCACGAACTTTCGCAACTTTGGACGCGAAAGTTGCCTGGCACGCGAAATGAACTTTCGCGAGAAGTTTCGTGAGATTGGAAGCTGGGAGCCGTCAAATACGGTATGAGTATACGCAACACATGTCATATAGTACCGAATGACGCGAAAGGTTCTTCTATATATGGTTTTTTTTGGGCATTTTGCCCCTCAACAACTCGTACATGTACATGTAGCTTCGATGTCAGGCAGATTTGACGTCCTTTTTTTGGTTCTTCTATACCATGTATACAGGGGGTTTCCGTACACAATTACCCAGAAATGGGCATTTTGCAACTCACTTAGCTGCCATATCACTTATCAGGCGGATTTGACGTCCTTTATTTGGGTCTTTTATGATGGGGTTTCTGTACACAATTACCCACTCAGCTCCCATATCAGGTGGATCATCCTTTATTTGCTGACTCCCTGATTGGAAGTGGTCAGCTTCGTTCAGCTTGTGTTTTCGCTTCTTGGTCCTTACAACGCTTTCTCTTTTCTCTCTCAAACATGGAGTCCTCTGCCAGCTCCACTGTTCAATCCTCGCTTCCAGATTCGCCATGTCGAATTGTATTCGACCTAACGATGGATTTAATTTTGCTCCGCCAGGTAATGGCACACCCCAATCCATTCGTCCGTGGTTCTCCAGCTATGGATAACGTAGCGGATGAACTAGCCAAACAGGATGCTGCACGCTTCGGGTCGCTAACGAAAAAGAGCGTTCGAGATAGGCTGATGAAAATGCTAGAACACCATGCCAAAGGCGATGCCTGGCGTAGACGACAGTAAGTACCGCAATGATAAGTAGAACACGTTATAATATTTTTCCAAGTGTCAACCATGATGAGCATGTCGTTTACTGTATATGGAATTGTGTTCATCTTTACCCAGTACTTGGTGATGTAGATAAGCAGAATGTGCAGGCATCTTCTATCCGTGATGTCCAATTGTATTATTCTGTGACGCAACCATTACTTTTAATTCGTTCTATTTTATCTATCTTCTTTCGCATTTCAGATCTGGTTCCGCCGAAGATTACACGGAAAAAACCCAACTGTTGACGGAGCTCACTCAGGTCTATGCTGAGCGCAGTATGCCTCAGGAGCGTGAAGCCGCTGCTGCCGTAACGTCAAGAGCCGTAGCCCTCCAACTTCGCGACAGCGCCTGCCGCACTTTGGGCGGCAAGGGAACATCGGCTTCCACATCAACCAGTAGCAGTGATACTGCTGCAGCCTGCACTGGCCACACAGCAGCAACAACCACCACCATCACAGAAACAACCACCGCAGCAGCAGCAGCTTCAGCAACAGTAGCAGCACCAACAAAGAGTGCAGCAGCAGACGAGCCTGCAGCCAAGCGTCGGCCGACTGGAGCAAGTGCCATCATGGCTCCAGTCGTCGACTACCTCAAGGAAAAAAACGACCGTGACCGTGATATCCAGGGCAAGAACTTGGATTTGAAGAAGGACGAGCTTGACTTCAAGCGTGAGGAGTTGAGGGCAAAGCAGGAAATGCAAAAGCTAGAGCTCGCAGCAAAGGCCGAAGCAAATGAGAAAAAAGATGCTGCAGACCAGCGCAAAGATGCAGCCATGATGTCCATGATGAAGATGATGATGGACAAAATGAAATGATACGCATATATTTTATATGATGTGGGACTGTCACAAATTCAAATGAGTTGGTTTGTTGGCTTTATCTTTATCTATCTGCACATCACGTCTAACATATCTATTTAATGTTGAGTGCTGTGATCACAAAGAAATCTGTGTAGACCTGGTGAAGAGAAGCTGTTGTCCATTGACAAATTCCGATTGCTTTTACAGTGGTATGTTGTGGAGATAAATTCCACTAACATATCCACTATGGAGCTCAGGAAGTGCTTACGGTTGCAAGTACTCCTGGATCGATGGCGGTGAAATGCTGAAATAGCTGCTGGTCTTGTTGCCAAAGCGCATGATGGTGCGGAGATTGGTGAGGAGAGCAGCCACTTTGTAATACAAGCCCACTGGCTGCAACAGTAGCTTTTGCTGTTTCCTCATGTCTACATATGCCCATAGCGTGCAGACTTCACCGAAGGCCCACTCAACAGCAATGCGGCCTGCATTCATGTGCACGTTGAATTGGTGCTGGTCATGAGGGAGATTTGCGCCGCGGTATGCCTTCTGGAGGTAGGGGCTTAGCGGGTACGCAGGATCTCCGTAAATTGCAAACGGGGGCTCATTCTGCGGGTGGTTGATGTCTTGGGCCATGGCATCCAGCAGTTGACTCTCACGGAGGATACCAGAGTCATGTCGCCGCCCTTCAATGGGCCCATACAGATGGGTGATCAGGCCGTCAGGTGTTGCAACAGCCTGATACTTGACGGCATGCACGCGCTTGTGGCCATTGTACATCAATCGCTGATGCATACCTGGGCGACATATTGGCCTTACTGTGCCATCTATGTAACCCCATACGTTCAGGTTCACACCAACCTTGGCAGAAATCGCCTGCGCATAGGCCTCAATGCGCTCTGGCGTGAAAAACGGCTGCGCAAATGGGTTCTCCAGCAAGCCTCCCCACCTCTCCCATATCCACATCAGCATGCTGTTGATGATAAGCGATAGAACGGGTTTGCTTCTACCGAACTCCTCACACAGCATACCTAGACGATCTGGGTAGGCAAGCCGACGCAGCAAAATCAGCAGACCCTCCATTCCGTTCCACGTGGTCCTACATGGTGCTCGAAATCTATGTGGAACTTGTAACGCTATGAACAGCTCTTCCAATTGTCGATGCGTAAATCTGAACTGACGAAGACAAACATCATCATCCAGCAAGTTGAAATCCAGCCGAATTCCAATTTCCTGGGGGCCTACAAGGAGGCCACGGGCAGCACACAGCTCCACACCGCCGATCAGCATGAGCAACTCCTCATCATCCAAGTCCCCCTCGTCATGGGCTAGCAGGAATAGGCAGCAGAGCACTGCACTTTTCTCTTCGCCACTTATTTCCGCTACGTTCATCGTTCTCACCAAACCAACTTCTAACACAACCAAGCTCCCAACAAATCTCGTGTCCTACACTGATGAAGCAAGTAGAAGTGAATAGAGTCTATCGGGTGCTGCAATGAATAAGTTACTGCAATTGTAGTATACACTTTTCAAAATACGCTGTTTGGTTCCACGTGGGTGTCGCCACGTGGCGGGCACGGCTGTACAACGTGCGTGAGATTGCGTATGCATTATGCGTAGATCTACGTGCGAATATCGCGTACTGCGAAAAAGTGCAGAACACAAAGTTCGTGCGAAACTTCGCACAAATTTTCGTCACGCTGTTCACGAAAGTTTGTACGAATTTTCGTTATGCAGAACCTCTCTAATGTTGCAAAAGAAGGATCCACGAGCGGGATTCGAACCCAGCACCCCTGTCTTTCCGGGACAGTGCCCTACCGATTAGGCTACCGGGGATCACACACACTCATGGGTCCTTCTTGCTACAGATGGCGCCCAGTTGCGGCAGTTGCGTGGGGTGCGACAAGGCTGCGATTTGGGGTTTTCCCGGTTTCGCGGCTGTCGCATCGCGTGTCGCATCGCAAAAAAGCTTCTGTGAAAAAAAACACCGTAGGTGACGAAATACAATAATGATCAAAATTTTAATAATAGGGTGCTGCTGCTGGGGCTGGTCAAGAGGATGGGCACTGTTGCGTACATTTCCAACGGGGTTGAGCACGCGTCTGCAGTACAGTACGGCCGGCATCACAGACTGCGACAGAGTCATACGAGGATACAGTCAATCACGTCCCTGACAAGAAGTCAGGGAGGGGCGGTTGGGAGAAACAACTCCGTTCCGTCGATGGAGATGTCAATCGCAAACTATACTTTATTTCGGCTTGACAGGCGCGACAAACCCGCAGGTGGTGTATGTTTGTATGTTAATAACTCACTGTTTAGTCACCTACGTCCCGTCCCGACTTAATTAACAGCCGATGGCGTTGAATGCATTTGGGTAGAGATCAAAGCTCACCCACAACCTCTTCTTGTCAGGTGTATTTACCGCCCACCGAGTCAGTCACTAGCTTACTAGCAGACTTTCAAGGCTATGTTACACAAGGCATCGGGAGAAGCCAAGAATATTCTGCTTTGTGGTGACTTTAATGTCGATCTGGCCAGTCAATCTCCCACACCCCAGCATGCCTCCTTGCATGACATCACAACCAGCTTAGGCCTGCATCAACTTGTAAAATCTCCAACACGCATAACGCTGCAAGGGAGCTGCACTCTATTAGATCATGTCTGTAGTACAGCTCAAGTCATATCCCCGCCTGATGTGTGTCCAGTTCCGTTCAGCGACCACAGTGCTATTGCAACCAAGATTTGTGTTAAACCAGTGCCGACAGCATTGCCTTCTCAGCGACTTTATCGAAACTTCAAGAGAATGGACTTGGCATCACTTCGTATGGATATTTCGTGCGCCAACCTCTGTGAACTTCGTGGGTTCTGCGACGACATGTGGCAACAGTGGCTGACTAAGGTTGTGCCCATTCTTGATGCTCATGCTCCATTGCGCCACGCGTCTTTCCGACCAAGACAGGATTCACCATGGGTCAATGAACATTTGTTCCTGTTGATACGACGACGGAACCACGCTCATCGGAAATGGCTGCAATCTAAGTGCCAGACTGATTACGATGCGTTTAAAGAAGCCAGGCGTATCGTGACTCGTATGAACCGTGAATTGAAGACGATTTTTTTCCAGTCTAAGTTCACCAGTGTTCAAGGTAATCCCAGGAAAACGTGGAAGGTTTTGAACGAGTTATCCGGAAGACAACGTGTTCAATCCGTTCCACAATGCTCTGCAAGCAACATTGGGTGTGTATTTGCTGATGTTGTCAGTGATCAACAACGAGCAGCTGAACTGTGTCTTCCACAGGGCCCAGTGGGACCTAAGGGTTTTACATCCTTCAGTTCGGTGTCAATAGGTTGTGTGCGTAAACTGTTGGGTTCCTTGGACACCAGCAAAGCGACAGGCGGTGTAGTGATGGAATACCCGCATTTCTTCTGAAGTCCTGCGCTGATTTGCTAGCTCCCTCCTTAACATTGATATTTAATGCATCTCTTGCTGTTGGTTCTGTGCCGGACGGCATGAAGTTGGCACATGCCACGCCGGTATTCAAGGCTGGAAATCCTCAAGATCCGGGAAATTATCGCCCTGTGTCTCTCCTGCCAATTGTGTCGAAGCTGTTAGAACGAATTGTCCATAGACAACTATCCTCGTTTCTGGACAAGGAGAATTTGTACCCTCCCTGTCAGTTTGGCTTTAGACGTCAACATTCAACGGAAGACGCTCTAGTTTTCGTCACGGACACGTTTGTTCGCGCTCGCGATGCCGGACAAATTACTGGTGCTGTGCTCGTGGATATGTCCAAAGCATTTGACAAGGTCAGGCACCAAGTGCTCATTAATGATTTGTTTGAGCTTGGCATATCTGGTTCAGCATTAGTTTGGTTTGCCGACTATTTGTCCAATCGTCGCCAAATAATGCACATTGCTGAGAACTATAGCCCTCCTTTCCCCTGCATGTGTGGCGTTCCCCAGGGCTCTGTTCTTGGTCCGCTGCTTTTTGTACTCTATGTTCGTTCGATCCAGTCCATTGTCTCCGAGTTTTGTGTGGAAGCTATTCAATTTGCTGACGATATTCTATTGTACTTCCAACGAAGTATGTGTGCGGTACGCAGAAGAATGCGCTTAGCAACTCCCTGTCTGCAGCTGTCTCAGCCATTAGTACCTGGCTGTCAAACCGCAATTTAATTCTAAATGCCCGGAAGACACAAGTGCTCTTCCTGTCTACGCCACATACTACTGACCACCAATTTGCAGTCTACTGTCATGGAGTGCAGCTCAAGCAAGTGACATGTGCAAAGTACCTTGGAATACATTTGGACCAGGATCTTTCTTGGAGGACTCAAGTTGATTCTATGGTCACAAAACTTGCCAGTAAAATTGGTATTCTGTTCCGAAATCGACACAATATTCCGCTGACTTGCCGAGAAACCTTTGTAAAGTGCCTAGTGTTGCCAGATTTTCTATATGCATCAAATTGTTTTTCTGCTGGCCTTTCCTTAACCCAGTTAGGTAGGCTTGAACGAATGCTAAAGCGAGCTTTGCGTTCAGTGTACGATACTGGTTTTTGTAGCCCATCAAGCCCTTTATTTGCGAGACTTGGTCTAGATCGTTTGGCATCCATGTATTGCACGAAATTACTGTATCTGACGTGGCGCTGTTTGGAAGGCCGCTGTAGTGTCACATTAAGTCAAATGTTCGAGCGTTTAAATAATGGTCTTGCAACGCGCAGCCTTCTATCACGCACTCTTAAGTTGCCCATGCTCAGAACTGCCTTTGCCCGTCATGGCGCTTCCTTCCAATGTGCTAAGCTGTGGAATGATTTACACCCTCTAGCTCGCTGTGTGGATAACTCCGCCCGTTTTAAGAAACTGTTACCCCAATGCCTTGCTTTTTCACGCTAGTACTTATGACTTTCAGCTATGCAAAATGCGAACATGATCACCTATCCAATACCGGTAGTCTATTATATTAATTATTCGTATCTTTTTGCATCTTTCCCTCAAGTGGGTCTATTGTTATTAGGCAAT